CCACAGCCACTCGGTCTTGGAAGGGTTGAGCCTGAGTCTGTTCCTCCCCATCCAGACCCGTACGGCCTCCAGGCAACGGGTCATCACGTCAAGGGCATCGTTGGGGTGGCCTGGGGTGGAAATGTACAGCTGCGTGTCATCAGCGTACTGATGGAAATCTTAAAATCTCTTTTTAAAAAGCTACCTAAGCATGCATGGGTTTTTTTTGTAATTTTTTAGGAATAAAACAAGTGGCAGAAGGGAACTATATAATCAGACAATAACTTGTGTGATGCATTTGTCTATGAGAGGGCAGTTATTACACAGAAGGATATTGGGAGAGGATGTGGATAGGCAAGCCTATCCATAAACTTCCAAAAATTGTGGCTAGGATTAGGAGGGGAATAGGGAGGAAGTCAAAATATAAAGAGGGAAGGGCAGAATGCCTGAAAGGATCAAGAAATGGGGGAAGAGACCAAAAACAACTGGTAATTGCTCAGAAGACCATGTCTTGGTTACCTGGAGATTTTGGTAACAAAATAACAAAAACACAAGGCATTAAGTTCAGACTACCCAATACTCGGTAGTGTTTTGCATGAATCAGGGCCAATGATCTAGAATGATTTCATCTCTTCTTTAGAGTCCACCTTCAAGAAATTCCATGGAAGAGATTAAATTTAGATCACCAGAGCTTCCAAACTCAGAATTATTCTTTTGGTTTCCAACCTGGTTATTAGTGAGGGTCATCTGCTTCTGAAGTTTTTCTAGCTGCTTCTTCAGTTCCTCTTTTTCTTCATTCATCCTTTCCCTGTCACTCCGTTCCCGCTGGAAATCCTCCTCAAAAATCTTCACCTGACAGAAAAAGAGGGACTTAAATCCTAGGATCAGACACTTGCGCCCCCAAATTTATGTTCTACTTGTTTCAGCACTGATGTCAGGAAAACACAACACACAGAAACTTAAATTCAAAACCAGTGCCATAAGTTTTATAAAGCATGGAGTCATCTGACAAAGGAAATCCCTTCTTAAATTTACACAACACTTTCTGTTCTGGTTTAATCCATTTTTACTCTATCTTCCTAAGATAAGATAAGATAAGATAAGATAAGATGATAAGATAAGATAAGATAAGATAAGATAAGATAAGATAAGATAAGATGAGGTGAGGTGAGGTGAGGTGAGGTGAGGTGAGGTGAGGTGAGGTGAGGTGAGGTGAGGTGAGTAGGGTAGGGAGGGTAGGGTAGGGTAGGGTAGGGTAGGAGTGCTGTGAATACAACAATAACTGCCTCTCATTAATTCTAAAAAAAACCTTTAAAGATAAAATGTTTTCAACATGCTTTCCAACTGATACAACACACACAACTTTTTAAAATGGCACTTAAAGAATTAACAATATTATTTCTGATACTAATAATCAATTAATGAGATCCATCAGTGAAACTAGTACAATATTAATACATAGAGTCCTTGACTTATAACCACAACTGGAACCAGAATTTCCATTGCCAAGCAGGACTCTTGTTAAATGAGCCGCATCTGATTTTATGACCTCTTTTTTTGCCACGGTTCTTAAAGGAATCACAAACTTTGGATGCCTACTTGCTGTTTCAGAAGCTCGTTCTGGGTCATCACTTCCTGGTGCCGGAGACTTGGGTTAGGATCGTTTTTGAAGGCTGAGGGGGAATGAGGAGGTGCTTGGAAGTTCAGAGCCTCTTCTAGGGCCTGAGGGCAAGACAAAGGGACTGTAAGAAACCTTTCCTGGCATAACACGTGTTCTTTCCAGCAATGGCAATAGATATAGAATGATTCTACTGCCTAGGAAAGACCATCATCTGGGGAAAAAGATTCACACAGCTAAAAAAAAGCAGAAGCGGAACCAGGCACAAATACTCTCAATTCTTTAATAAGATATACCCACCTTATTTAGTCGGAGAATCTCCTTCTCCTGGTACTCTCTTTGCCTTGTGACAGGAACCAATTGATCCTGAAGAAACTTCACCTTGTGCTTGAGGTCCTTCACCTCCCGGCTGAGTCTCTCTTTTTCTGCCTTGGGGGTAAAAAAGAATAAAGTGGAAGGGAGGGAGAGGAAGGTGTATAAAAGGAGAAACACCCCATTTCCATCAGGTGTGGAACAATGAATCCCCTTTCCTGCCTGAAAGCCACCTCAGAAAAAATGAGAGGGAATAAGAGGCCATGGACAGGGTCTACCTTCAACAGCATGTCAGTTTATACAAAAAAGCCCATGAAGTTTTGATGCCCGTCAAATGCAACTGGCTGTCGTAACGGTCATTCTCAAATATCTCCCTCCCATAGAAAAACTCCTAACTGCTAAAAAAAAAAAAAGGTATTCTGTCTCATTTGTTCTGTGGTGTCCAGAACGCACATAGCAATGTGAACCCTGATGGAAAGAAAGACAGAAGATTCTCAACAGAGCAAAGCACCTTCCAGAGAACGTGAACATGAGAACATTCAGAAATCAAATTCAAAAGTAAAAGAGCTCACATGGATTTTTTGTAGTTACACCACCATAGAATTTAAACTGCTAAACCCCCTTTCATCCACTAGAGGGCTGGCCTTTCCCAATTCTTTCTGTGTTGCTCCTGCCTACAAGGCCTAATGAACTGAGTGAGGTCTGTCTATACAGGTAGTCCTCAACTTACGACCACAACAGAGCCCAAAATTTTGTTAAGTGAGTTTTGCTCCCTTTTACGACCTTTCTTGCCACAGATGGTAAGTAAATCACCGCAGTTGTTAAGTTAGTAACACAGTTGTTAAATGCATCTGGCTTCTCCACTGACTTGGCTTGTCAGAAGGTCGCAAAATGTGATCACATGACCTCAGGACACTGCAACTGTCATAAGTACATGCCAGTTGCCAAGTGTCCGAATTTTGATCACATGGCCACAGGGATGCTGCAACCGTCTTAAGTGTTGAAAAACAATCATACGTCACTGTTTTCAGTGCTGTTGTAACTTGAGGCACTTAATAGTCACTAAGCAAAGGGTTGTAAGTCAAGGCCTACCTGTAGAAGACATGGAAATGACTGGTTCTGTCACCACTTTCTACCAATAATATTTTGTTAATGTTCTTAATTTGCACCTTGATATTTTTAAAGATTTAAGACTCATTCTCACAGGGAGTTACTACAGAAGAACCGAAAGCAGGAATAAAGGAAAAATGCTTTCTATGCTACCTGTCTGTCAATCCATTTAGAGTCTACCTCAGTGAAGATCTCACCTGGAAAATCAATACAACCCAGGTGGCCAGAAAGACCCAAAAGAGACTCCACTGCCTCAGGGTCTTGCGAAAGAACAAAGTGGAACAACGACTGATGACCTTCTTTTACCGGTCCACCATAGAAAGCATCCTCTCACATTGCATTATGGTGTGGTATGCTGGCTTGACAGCCGCGGATAGAAAGACATTACAGAGGGTGGTGAGCACAGCATAAAACATCATGGGCTGTCCCCTGACACCACTAGACGACATCGCTAGGGCCCACTGCCTTAGAAGAGTGAGGAAAATCCTCAGGGACGACTCACACCCTGGTCAGCACTTCTTTACTCTCCTACCATCGGGCAGGAGATATAGAAGCATAGCCAGTCGCACCAACAGGCTGAAGAACAGTTTCTACCCATGGGCTGTCAGACTCCTGAATGGGAAATAACTCCATGTATGATAGACTTGCGGGGCCAGTGCGTTGTGCAATAAGTTCATGTGGTGTAATAAGATTGTGTGTTGTTGTCACTGTGAATTGTGTCGGGGGGTGCACGAAGGGAGGCTTAGCCAATCTCATTGTACGCATGTTGTACTTTGACAATAAAGGTTGATTTGATTTGATTTAGAGTTAAATCTGATGTAAACACTATTGTTTTAGGCAAAAAATGTAAATACATTCCAAGTGGGATTTTGGACTATACCTCTTCTTCTTCAATTTTGGATTTTGCCAAGAGAAGTTTGCGGTCAAAATCCCTCTGTTTCTGCTCCCGCTCTGTCTCCAACTCTGCTAGGGCCTTTTGGGAGTCAGCAAGTTTCTGCCGTAGATCTGTTATCTGCCAGGAGGAAATGTTTTTTTTTTTAAAAAAAAAATGCAAAATGCCCTCATGCAATTTTAAATATCCCATACGAACAAAACCAGTACCTTACAATATATAGTTTTATTTAGCATCAGTCTCTTACTATATGGCATTCCTGCATCAAATATTCAATTTGGGGAATAAATGCATAAAATTTCATTCTGGCAATTTTGGCAGAGATCCTATGATTATCTTACGACGGTATCTCGTATTGTTTGTATTATTGCTTATGGTAAAAATAAAGATACTGGATTTTTAAAAAACAGAAAATTGCATGTTGGTCTTATGGGATTGACATTTTCTATGTCTATAGTTAGCAGCTGTGATTAAGTGTAATTTTATTTTCTTTCTTTTTTTTTAATTCTCAGAAGTGTTTATATCTTCTCAAACTAATAAAAGAAAATGTCTTAAAACAGATATCAAACAGACAGTGCTATTGAGACCTTATGACTCAGCTAACATTCCTGTATTCTTTCATTTGGATAAGAACAAGGCCACCTTCATCTTGTGTCATACTATCAGAAACATCTGAGATACAGCTGTCCCGGAGCTTTGTCATTACCTTCTGCTCATACTGCTGCTTCATGGACCTGAAATGATGGTCCCACTGTTTATTCACTTCCAATAGCTAGAGGGGGGGGAAAAATGCATCAAGTTATTTTGGACACACTGCCTTACAGCCTTCCTCCATTTGACACAAGAAGCCACAAGGCTGAAATGTAACTTTGTTTTGTTTTCTAAATCAATAGCCCTATATTCCGCATAGGCTCAATCAGGCATCGCCCCTATTGCTAAACCTGCTGGTTATCACACTTAGTCTATTCTCAAGCTTTTCCTGGACAGGAAGAGGGATTACCTACAGTACATGCAGAGGGCATACTTGAGAGGACACATTCAGGAGGAGCTCAGGTGATGGTTAGATTAGGGATATAATAAATAAACAAAAAGAAGCAGGTAACATGACAGTTTGGGATTCTGGAGAACCCTCCAGAGGATAGTTCTGGACTAGAAGGTAAACCACGATGTAAAAAAGATGCTGAGACTCTAGAAAGAGTACAGAGAAGAGCCACAAAGATGATTAGGGGACTGGAGGCTAAAGCATATAAGGAAAGGCTGCTGGAATTGGGTATGTCTAGTTTAATGAAGAGAAGGAAGAGGGGAGACATGATAGCAGTGTTCCAATATCTCAGGGGCTGCCACAAAGAAGAGGGAGTGAAGCTATTTTCCAAGGCGCCTGAAGGCAGGACGAGAAGCAATGGATGGAAACTAATCAAGGAGAGAAGCAACCTAGAACTAAGGAGAAACTTCCTGACAGTTAGAACAATTAACCAGTGGAACAACCTGCCTCCAGAAGCGGTGAATGCTCCAACACTGTAAGTTTTTAAGAAGAGACTGGACAGCCATTTGTCCAAAATGGTATAGGGTTTCCTGCCTGAGCAGTGGGTTGGACTAGATGACCTCCAAGGTCCCTTCCAACTTTATATTATTATTATTATTATTATTATTATTATTATTATTATTATTATTATTATTATTATTATTATTATTATTAACCTCTATTGTTTATTTAGTAGCAGCCATCACCTGATATAAACTCTTTCTGATTCCAAGAAAAATTCTTTTGTTTGGCTTACCTCATTGCGCTGATGTTCAAGTATCTTCACTTTCTTCTCACTTGCCCCCAACATGCTCTTCCCTGCTGCTTGCTCCTCTGTAGCTCCCTTCTAAAAGGCAGATTCATATCAGACCTTGAGCAATCATTCAAAACAGCAGCTCCATATTCAGAAGTTGGATCTATCCCTCTTTTTCCCCCCAAAATCTACAATCTAAGATACTGCACATCTCAATTCCATCTTTCCCCCAATATTCTGGATATGACAGAATTGAGATGATGAAAAATACCAGTGACCTCTTAAGAGAAGTTGCTATTCGACTGGTTCTCTGATAAATACCCTTAAATCTTCCATTTCTGAAAGCAGGAATTACTGAACATAAAGATTTCTCTATATTGGGAGATTCACTCGAGGGAATGATGGGATGAGACTGGTAGCCTGGTTTTAGCTTTTTTATAATTTAAGATACTTTATACTTTGGCCACCTAATGAGAAGGAAGACTCACTGGAGAAGAGCCTAATGCTGGGAAAGACTGAGGGCAATAGAAGAAGACAGTGTTTGCCTGCAGACCCAGAGGCCTTAAAGTATTTGTGACAGAGTAATGATGCAGACATCTTAGAAATCTATAGCTACTAGCAGGACTCACTGGAGAAGAGCCTAATGCTGGGAAAGATTGAGGGCAATAGAAGAAGGGGACGACAGAGAATGAGGTGGATGGATGGAGTCACTGAAGCAGTAAGCATGAGCTTAAATGGACTCCAGAAGATGGAAGAGGACAGGAAGGCCTGGAGGAACGGGGTCACAATGGGTTGGACACGATTTCGCAACTAACAACAACACAATTTAAGATATTATTCTTTTATTTTGATTTTGTTATCTGTTATTTATTGCAAACCCCTGGGAGCTGATCCTGAATCTGTCTGCATGTACATTTAGTAAATACATGTTATGCATTTTTTCTTAAAATTACAGAAGTTATGTTCCAGATACATTCTATATTTAAATCACACACCCATGCACCATTGTGTCAAAAGATGAAAAATATATGATAATTTGATGTTGAAGCTAAGATTATGTTCTTCCTTCAGTTTTAAATACATGTTACTTTTGATTTTTTTAATCTATCCCTTTTACCATAAAGCTTACTTTCAGATATAGCTAGGCTCACATTACTGAGAGATACCTTCCAAGCAGTTTGAGGCTAAATGTTATCAGCATATGGCATAGGATAGCAATCCAATCTAGGCTAAAAACCTCTTACCTGTTGCTGACCAGCATATTCTGTATTTTCTGCTTTCACACTTTCCTTACTTCCCGTCATCACCATCTTTCTGAGTTCCAGATTCTCACACCTACATTAAAAAGTCATCGTCATCATCATCATCGTCGTCGTCATCATCATCATCATCATCATTTTAGGTTTGCAGAAAAATATGTAAAGGCAGCTGTCACAGTAGCCATCATTCAGAATAAGATTTACTTTAAACTCAGGGACCAAAAAAATCTAATAACTAAATTAGATCATTTCACTGAGGATAAAGATAACTATACTGGGCAACAATCACAGGCAACCTGCTTCCAGATACCATTCAGTGTAAATGAGTAGAAGAATATATTCTTTACTTCCTGCTGATGAGTTTTGACATGGAATATTTAGAGGACAGAGGATGCTGGAGGAGACAATCCTTTGGTCTGATCTAGCCCTATCTCCTTACATTCTTGATATATGCTTATGTTTTCCCCTATCATGGAACATCTCCCCAAAATAGCACCATACTATTTGTTAGATTTCTATTCTGCATGGCCAAAAACATGCTCAAAATATCTATAATGAGTCAGAGGGGGAAAAAAGCCATAATTATCTTTCAGAAACTATTTTTAAATGGAATGTGGTGATTTGGCGCCTCCCTCAGCAATTAAATGGTAGTAATAGGGACAGTGGTGGGATTCAAATATGTGAACAACAGGTTCTCTGTGTGGATGCCGCTTCCGGAAGTCCATTCTGGGCCTGGGTAACAAAAATTTAGCTACCGGTTCTGCCAAACTGGCTGAATCCCACCACTGAATAGGGATCAACTTTATTAATCAGGAGCAATCCAACTTTTGAAAGAAAGACACTTATGGAGGATATGATATTTGCTACTAAATTAACAAAAGGCTTAGCATACATAACATCTATATATGTGCACAAATACAATCAACCAGTATTTACGATACTGGTTTAGTATTTACAATACTAGAGTTGCACTTTAACAGAGCTCAGCAGGAAATATTAAAGGTGTCAATTTTTTTTATTTTTTAAATATATCTTTCTTCTGACCTTTGCTTATTTTTATTTTGGAGATGCTATCTAATTCTTCTCTCCCTCTGTATGTCCATGCATCCCTATAGATAGGTCAAGCAGAGAGCTGCTCTTGAGTTATTTTTCTCAGTGGGCTGAAACAACCAAATGTCTTTCTTTTCAATGGTAGGGAAATTACCAATCTAAATTAGTACAGAATTAGTGAGGTTGTTCTTCAATATGAATATTCATTAGTTTTTCTCTTTGCTTGATTCTATGTAACTTGAAGAACAATTCTTACTGAATTAATCTATAACAACTCTATTACCGCCTAAAGCAGGGGTGTCAAACTCAATTTCATTGAGGGCCGCATCAGCATTGTGGTTCCCCTCAGGAGGCCGGGTGGGTGCAGCCTACTGAGTGGGCATGGATGGAGTGGGTGTGGCCTACTGGGTGGGCATGGCCAGCTCTACATCATTCGCGTCAAGGGTGCCTATGGGGGCCTGGGCAGATCTGAGGGTCTCTGGCAGAAGGGGGTGGGACCGGGGCAAGCGCCAAAGCAAGGTCCATTTTTTCATTCCTCACAAAGGGTGACACCTCCCCAGCATGCACCCAGGGGGCAGGGCCAACACAGTAGGGGCTGGTTCCTCGCTGTTTCTAGACGGCCTTGTGGAGCTAAGATTGAATGTGTTTCAGCATAGATGGCCACCACAAAATTGTACATTGGCTCCCGGCCGGCCTGGGCCAGGGCCAAGGCAGCGGGGGCCGTTCCCTCACTGTTTCCAGGATGGCTTCGCGGGCCACATGAAACCATTTTGCGGGCCACATCCGGCCCCCGGGCCTTGTGTTTGACATGTCTGGCCTAAAGAATAAAACAATACCCTCTCAATTGTTATTATAAAAAAACAATCCCAGAAACATTGTTATGATTCTGTATGTTATTTTAAACTACTGCTGGAAAGGCAGGATATAAATCTAAGAAAGAAAGAATAAACCAAAAATGAAATAAGATACATAATTCAACATATATGCATACCATCTTGTGAATTTAAGGCTACATTTACTGGTTTGAAACAGAGTTTGATTTTGATTTAGAAACTGAGCTAGAACAAGTTGTCCATTCTTGTCCAAGCAGCTAATGGACAGCATGATAACATGGACAGGATCTATGGCAGAGCAAAATAGTTCTCTTATCCCCTGCTTGAGAGCTAACTCAATCCTAGAACATAGGTTGCCCAGGGAGCGTAGAATTCATATTAGAACTAGGTATCAAGGGCACCATCTACTGGAGAATTAAACACATGGCTTTTTACAAAGCAGATGCAATTATCACCCCACAATTCTAGCTAAAAGATAAGGTCTGGACTGAAATAATCATGATATTGAGGATAGAGCAGTGGTGGCGAACCTATGGCATGCGTGCCAGAGGCGGCACTCGGAGCCCTCTCTGTGGGCACACGTGCCGTTCCCCAGCCTTGCCTCCTCCCCACGACCCCCTCCTCACCAGCAGCCCCCCTGGAAGAGAGTCGCCCCCGAGCGTGGCCCACACAGAGCACCGTAGCCAAGGACATGGCAACCAGGCAGCGTAGACAAGATTCTGCCCTCATGCCCCATCGTGCACAGTTGATGCTGCAGGGTGCGGGCAGAGGGCGTGGCCGCCATGGCGCTGCTGAGCTGCCTGGGCGATCGGCGGTGGGCCCTGGAGGCGGTGAGTGGCCCTGTGGGCAGGCAGGGTGGGGGCGGAGCAGGGGCAGAGCAGGGGGTGGAGTGGGGGCAGGGCCAGTTTTTGGGCACTTGGTCTCTAAAAGGTTTGCCATCACTGGGATAGCGTATTCAGAAAAGCTTCACTTTTACTAGCTGAAGCCGGCAGGATACAAATGATATCTGTGGAACTAAAAACAAAGGACAACAATATAGTCTCCATCAAAAGTAAGGAAGGCTCCTGATGCTCTGGATCAAGCTGTTTTAGTCATTCTCAAGCACATTCACAACTGAATGTGAAAATAAACCTTGTGCCTCTGTTTCCAATTAGAATCTTTTAAAGAACCGCAAATCGAAAATCCATTTTTTTCTGAAAGATCTCACAGATCATAATAACTCTTATGAAAGGAAAGCCATTTCTTTTTGGTAAGGGAGAACGTGTGAGCCAGTACCTAGCTTCATTGAGAAGGAAGAAAAATATTTCTCCATGAGCTATTCTGATCTTTCACAAAAAGTTCTGGGTTAGGAAAGATTTTCTTAACCAAGTGAGATGCCCAATCCAAACAGGTCACTGCTAGTGCTAGGCTCTTTTTCTTTGGGACTTGTGGGCACAGTTTTATGCTACCCTATGCAAGATAAGTAAACTAGCATTCAAGAGGAAGGTCCTCACAATTGTCTTCTAAACTTTACCTGTTTTTTTCTGGCCTTTCCCTCATTAAGTACATAAATGGTTTGGACCAATGTTTAGACTCATTCTGCACCGTGCAATATGTGGAAATTCCCTTATCACTCTCTGGGGCTTCCCAACGTTGTAACTTTTTCTGTAGAGTACTGGCCACATTGCTGCTCCTTCCTATCAGGTAGATTAAAGTAGATTAAAGAATAAAGTTGATACTAGAATCAACATGTGTAGTAGCACTAATGTATCCACTCCAAGATAGGGGACTTTTTCCTTTTCCCCAGTTGTATGCTTGCTCACCAACATTTATTCCTTTCCCCTCCTGATGTTCACTCACCTTAGTTTCTCTGATATCTCGTTCCTTTGCTCTAGTTCCCTCTCCAACTTTGTCCTCAGCTCCTCATTTTCATTCCGTAATTGTTCACACAATGTCTGTTTGAAGGAAAAAGAGAAATTGAGAGAGAGATACAGCAAAGAAAGAAAGAAAGAAAGAAAGAAAGAAGAAAGAAAGAAAAAGAAAGAAAGAAAGAAGAAAGAAAGAAAGAAGAAAGAAAGAAAGAAAGAAAGAAAGAAAGAAAGAAAGAAAGAAAGAAAGGAAGGAAGGAAGGAAGGAAGGAAGAAAGAAAAAGACCTATGCATTGTACCATATTTCTCAAGAGTCATTTGAATATTTGCTGAACCATATACTGTAGCAATAGCAATAGCACCTAGACTTATACAGCACTTCATAGTTCTTTACAGAACTCTCTAAGCGGTTTACAGAATCAGCATATTGCCCCCAGCAATCTGGGTCCTCATTTTACCAACCTCGAAGGATGGAAGGACCCTTTGAGTCTGAGAGCTGAATGCAACAAAATTTCATTTTAATGTATGCCAATTAGTGTACATTCAAAGTGACAATAAAGTTATTATTCTATTCTACTCTACTCTACTCTACTCTACTCTACTCTACTCTACTCTACTCTACTCTACTCTACTCTACTCTACTCTACTCTACTCTACTCTACTCCACTCCACTCCACTCCACTCCACTCCACTCCACTCCACTCCACTCCATTCCATTCTATTCAAGGCTGAGTCAACCTTGAGCCAGTCAGGATCAAACTGCTGCCAGCTGACAGAATTAGCCTGCAATACTGGATTCTAACCACTGCGCCACCACATATATATTTCATCTATGGTTTTTATTTCATAAATAAAAACACTGCTCAAACAAAATTGCCTTTTTCAATCTGCATCTATACATTTAATTTAAAACAGCAGTATAACATACATAACAAAAACATAAATGGAATAAGCGCTTTAAATAATCAGAAAAATTACTAGACTGCAAAGATATGGTTAATTAAAAACATCTCTGTGACACAATAAAGCATCCAAGGGCTGGAGAGAACAAAACTATCCAATGGTCTTACAATGAAATAGCCTCTTTGGAAGGCTCATTTCACAGAGGCACCAATGCTAAGAAATCTTAGTAGTCATGTATTGCACTGTCACATCAGAGCATGGAGGACAGATCTTCTAAAGTAGTACAGGGTAGGAGTGTACAGAGATATGGATTTGTTCAGGTCTGATGAAAACATTGAATGGTTTAAATATTTTCAACAAGCTTCCAGCAAGAGGCCACCTGTCTATCTTTTAGTCTGAATTAAGCACAAATCTCACCACCTCTTTTTTCAGATGTTGACACAAATATCCAACTGGATTCTTTCAGTTCACACCTCACCCCTAAGAACCTCAAAATGGAACTGAGAAATAGTGAACAGTCAAATTTCATTTACAGTAACTGATAGGAATTGGATCTTCTCAGTCCTAACTGGATACCATCACTAAATATTAAGGTTGTGCATGCTTCAAAAATGCTGAAGTGCTTCAGATCTCATGAAAGCATGACATGTCTCTGTTACTCATGAAAGCAGCCAAACTTCTATATGAGGTTAATCTGCTTTAAAGCAGGGGTCCACAACCCCCGGTCCGTGGACCAGTATTGGGCCACGGCATGCCAGCAACCGGTCCGTACAAACAAGCAAAGCTCCATCCGCAAGATGCAGGCAGCACCCAAAACCACACATCCTCTGGTCCATGGAAAAACCTCTCTCCACGGAACCGTGGTTGGGGAACTTTGCTTTAAAGAATAGCATAGAAGTCTTACATGTATGTATGTTTATTTTTTTATCAAATATTAAAATTTGAGAATATAAAATACCAAGCAGTTCTTACAAATAATTATTGAAAGATACACTTTACACTATACTTGATCTTAATTAATCTTAAAGGGAGTGTACTGAACTGTTATGGACTGTTGTGATTGCAAATAAATGTATATACAACTGTATACACTTTATGCTATATTGGTTGCCTCTAATATTATGAAAACCTTGGACAGGAAGAAAGAACAGGATTCAATCCATCTCTGATAAGAGAAACTTTCTGTATTTGCTAGGATCCCAAATGGAATTCTACCCCTCCTGAATAAACATAACTGTTTTTATAATAAGAGAAAAATTTTCACTGACTTCAAAGGGATATGGTTTCTTCTGCCCTACCTTGGCCTAGCTTGCCCATTTCATCCCTATGGGCTAGTTATTGCTAAAGTAAGTGATATGAGCAAAACCATGTCAAAGCAGCCCCAGAGAGAATTTCTCAGAAAAAAAGGATAACCATCATTTTCAGAGGTGACACAATTGCCCCTGCACATTTTACTAATAAGAAAATGTATGTCACTACCAAGGAAATATTCTTTCTCTTTTCAGCCAGAGGTTTTACTGATCAGTTTGTACCTGGGGGAAAAAAGTTTTTCTGATGCTTTAAAGATCTGCCTGACAAGGCCACGTCTTATATCCTTTGAAAGTTTGGCATCCTTGTTGGAAACTGACACTTAAGGAAAGAATGAATAAAGGAATACCTTTATGTTTCCTAATTGGGGTCAGGGAGTCTTTAAATGACAGGTGATTATTTATGGCAGGAACTGCTTCAGGACAGTGGAATGCCACCATGCATGACAAAGTGATTTTGAGTAGTCACAGAGTTTGCAATGAAGTCTCTACCCAGCATGAGCTCATAAAAGGGACATAGGCAAATGGAAATCTAAGCTTAATAAGGAGCGATAAAACTGGACCAAAAGGCTTTTACTCATTTGCCCAAAAGATGAATGGGAAAGAGCAGTATTAAGGATGTCACAGAAATAAAAGAATGAGAAAAAAAGTAAAGGGCCATAACATGCACGATGAAACCAGTTGACCTGGGATGGTTGGGTGCATAGGAAATATTTTTATGAGATGACCTGTACCCCAACTGTTATGGCCACTCAGTGGAATTGGGGGGAAAAGGAAAAAAAAAACACAAAGATGAGAACTCAGGAATACAGAGAAGCAAATGAATTGTGCACATCTACCAGCAGCCCTCGGACCTGAAGAATGGATGTCCTCTGCTCGTTCTTGTGCACTTTGGAGGCCAGGCGGTTAAACTCCAGAGCCATGCGCCCCAGATGGGCAAAAAGCTGGGTTTTGTCAGACTCCTCAGCGAAAAGACTCAGGGTGTTCTCGAAGCGCTGAAGGTGGAGCATAAGGTTGGTGTCCTCGTTCAGAAGCGGCTCTAAGTCCTGCAGAAAATGATCCAAAGTAGAAAATGGTATCAGAAAAGCATTTGCTCATTTTTTTTACTTCAACATAGACCTGGATAATTCCTCAAATATGACTGCCTGATGTGACTCCATTCTGCACTTTCAAAAAAGCCATTTCTGTTTGTTTGTGGTGGGAAGGCACCTGAAAAAGATTTATGCTACACAGGGAGATGGAAGAACAGGTCTTCTGCCTCTTCTAGCTTTTGTATGAGAAATCTTCTCGACCACTCTCAGAGAGAGCTGCTTTTTGCCCCTTAAGGTCCTATTCGCTTAAGTGGAGATCAGAAAACTGTCCCATTTGGGGATTGCTCTGGAGAATACCCAGTGTTTTATAAAGTAATTCATTTTTTTCTATACTAGGGATAAATCTATCAAATCTATTGTACCCCTTCCCAAATTGTCTCTTTCCCCATGAAATAGAATCCCCATCACATAGAACATACTCCAGACCCTTCTGACTCCTCTTTTCTCCTATCTTCAACCTTTACAATAATTCAGTTTAAGAGATGGTGTGTGTGTGTGGGGGGGGGTTCTCTTCAAAAAAAAGAGGGATTTTTCTCTTAAGACTGGACTACAAATCCAAGGCTAGCATTTATTTCCCTCTTCAATGAAGACGTGTATCTGGGTTGATGTTGTGATTCGTTGGGATAGTACTTACCCTTGTCAGTAATATTCTGTGTTTCCAAAATGACTCATTACAGAATTTTTACCTCTTTTACTCCTTTATGATTTCCCTGTTCCTGCTTTCCTAGACAATTTCCCATGCATATAAGTTAGTATTTATTTTCCATATACAATTTTTTTAAAACTCAAGAAGCTGGCAGACATACCGCTACTGAACATTACAAGGTTTTTCTTGTTCCATAAAACTAATCTAGGTTAAGTTTCTTTGGCACTACAGGTGCCAAAACCTCTCAGTTCAGGATTGAGTAGAAGTTGAACTGGACATTTAAGGATTATTGTTCCTTGGAATTCCCACTGTTCTGCGGGGTGTCGTTAGGACATATTTTGGTTGTCATTTGTGACTGAGCTATCCAGAGCTTGGTTTCAAAACTGGTTTGCAAAACCAATGCCAAAAAACCTTTTCTCCTTCTCATTGAGCAACTATAATCCATTCCCCACTTAGGATAATGGAAAATGTTTTCTTATGGGCAGACTGTATTGTGATGTGAATCACAGATTGCTTATTCTAAAAGTAAGCATGCTGTGTACTCCTAGAAAGCTTAACTCTGACTGCACACTGCTGGAATGCTACACTTTGCCTCAGCAAAGGGAAAGTAACAATAAAACAGCCTAAAATGACCTCTGCTCCAAATTACATTTCCAGATAAGATTCCCTGCAACCTCAGAGCTGATCAAAGGAATTCAGCAAGCTCACACAAAGCTAAAAGTGGGAAAGGAGACAATTGCTCACCCCTTACTGGTAACTCCCTACTCCTCACCTCCCAAGTTCCCATGTCGAAGTGGGAAGGCAAAGGCATGATGCATTTTGCATTTGCCTGAATGGAGACAATATTGCATTTGCCTGAATGGAGACAAAAGCCACTGCATAACCAACCAGAGGTTCCTTTTTAAGAGCAATCCCATTCTGATAAAAATGTCCACATCTATTCGAGGAGATATAGATGCTTCCTTCAGATTTTCCCCATCCAAATGAAGGATATGGAGGATTTGGAACGAGATTTCCAGCTAAGATTACCACTTTCCAATAGAGGTGAAAGCACAAAGCAAAACACACAAAACCATTTTAAAAAATCCTTAACTTGCGGTTCCCTAAAGGTTTTATTACTAACATGTCAACATAGCCACAACATGACAGCATCCCATTAATATCCTGGTCCCAGATCCTAGAGAAAAGCTGGGTCTTTCCAGCCTTCCAGAAAGCTGAAGGGGTTGCCATATGGGGGGGGGGGGGGCTGTTGCATTAAATCAAGTGGCATGACAGAAAAGACCCACTTGCTAGAAACCCCCAAGTGACATTGCTTCACCGGTGGGATTGGAGCATGCCCACTCTGCTGAAATGGGCAGAAACCATCAGGGATCTAAAGGCAGCCACCACTGCTTTGAACTGCATCCAGAAGCCTACTTCACCTCTATTTCCACTCTAACGGATGAACCTTCCACATCTGGGCCAACGTTTCTTCTTTCCCATCTTAAGAATGCCTTTTCCTATCTTCTGCTCTCCAGTTCCAGAATCTCATTTTGCAGTTGCATTAGCAACTGAAATTTTCATTCCAATAATTGCAAGCAGTCTGTTCCTCAGACATATCCTAAACTTACCTCCTTAATTTCAGAAAGCCGGCCAAGCCTTTGCTACTGGAAGCTACAGTTCACTCTTCAGAGTTTTGAGCACATAGAACAGACCTTTTGCTCAACAGCAAGCACAGTCAGCTTGGTTTGCCACCTCACAGGCAGCCCAGGCGAAAGGAATCTTTGAAAGTGAAAGCCAGGGAAATACTACCTTTTGCTCAGCACCTATAGCTGACTCACAATCTCCTCCCATTCCAGAGGCTGCCCCAATGGACTTGGTTCAGGAAAAACAAAATCCAGTCTTGCAAGAGACTTTACCCATTTCTCTTGCAAGTGATTCATGAGGAAACGATCTCAAGAAGGAACCACAACCTGTACATCTATCTTCAGTCTAAGGTCTTTATTGCCTTGTAAGTCAGAATATAAGGGACTTTCAAGGAACTTAAATACACTCAAGGTAGATTCTCGTTAGATTTTATCTACTTCTCCCTGGGCAGAAACTTTTCCCAAACTCTTGCCCTCAAGATGTGGCAGACTGTCACTTCTGTAATCTGCCAATATGGCAAATAACCAACTATTATACGTACGAAACAAAGATGTTAACTTAGGGGTTTTTTTCAGGATGAGGTGAGGGAAATTACAGATGTAACTGTACATTTTTAAATGTAAGCCCCAATGGGTCTTTTTCTCCCAAATATCATAGCTACACCATACAGCAACAAAAAGAGTATTTAGGCACTCTGTTGCCAGGGAAATGGAAGTCTTTACCATTTTTATATCATTGCCTAGCTAGCACTTGGTAAGTATTTTATTACAGATGCTTTTTATGGATTTAGCCTGTGGGTTTCCAGGTCTTTCTCCACTTTACATTTAATTATGGAACTAACATGCTTTTCTATGGAGACCCCAGGCCATTGGGGTCTTCAGCTCCTCTCCAGTACATGAGTGAAAGAGGCTCAAATCATTTTTAGCTGCACCAGTGTTAAAGTAAACTTTTTCCCTATTATTCCAACAATGCCAATGACACCCTCAAGCTATATATAAAACCTATCAACTTTTGTCATCTAGTAACACAAAAAGAAGTAATTATAGAAGGGAGACGCAGGTCAGCAACATGTATCCCAATATTATTTGTGCTGATTTTAAAAACAGAGAGAACTTTCAACTCAGATAAGATCCTACGGTCTGGGAAGATTCTTAGACTGATATGCTGATATATTAATATAAAGGAATTGGGTACGTCTAGTCTAGGGAAACAAAGGACGAGGGGTGACATGATAACAATGTTCCAATATTTGAGGAGCTGCCACAAAGAAGAGGGAGTCAAACTATTTTCCAAAGCACCTGAAGGCAAGATAAGAAACAATCAAAGAGAGAAGCAACCTGGAACTAAGGAGAAGTTTACTGACAGTGGAAGGGCTTGCCTTCCGAGGTTGTGGGTGCTTCGTCACTGGAGGTTTTTAAAAAGAGACTAGACAGCCCCTTGTCTGAAATAGTATAGGGCAGGGGTGTCCAAACTTTTTTCAAAGAGGGCCAGATTGGATGAAGTGAATGTGCTGGAGGGCCGAACATTTTTCCAAACATTCTTTGAACCATTACAATTAAATGCAAATGAATTATTTTATGCCTCTTTCCTCTCCCTCTCTTTCCTCTTTTTCTCTCTCTCTCTTTCCTTTCCCTTTCCTCTCCCCTCTCTCTCT